ACGACTTTATCATTACATGCAAATTGCTCAAGGTATTGGTAATTGAGTTGTTGCATAAAAGAAGTTGTTGGATCGTTTAACTTTTGGATCTTTGTTGTTTAATTTAGGTTTGCTCTTTCCTCAGTACTTTAGAGTGAGCGTAATGTTATGACCCGCCACTTTGATATTCAAGTTTCACGAAGCATTAGTAAAAGTCTAAGTCCGTGACAGTACGGTGACTTTAAATGCTAATACCATAAAAGTGATCATTACTTCTTAATATGCAGGGTAATATTAGTGTAATTGCCTCCCCGTTATATATCCTGCATCATTGGTTCTAAGTATATATATTTAATATTGTACGACATGTACTAATTTTATCATTTATTTATTTTCCGAGCATGAACTTGCGTTCTAAGTATATATATTTAATATTGTACGACATGTACTAATTTTATCATTTATTTATTTATCGAGCATGAACTTGCGTCCACAGAGTTATGATTCTCATTGAGTGGATCCTCCTACGAAACTTGTGTTATTATGAGGGTCTTGCAAGACGTCTCGTGTTGTCTTCTTTGATGTACACAAGACTTGCAAATATCGAGTAAAGTAGGTCTTGGGCAGCTAGAGGCGTATCCAGAATTTTGAGATGATGGGTGCACTATTACGAAAAGATGGACTAAGAAATAAATTTGATCAGTTTAACATTTAGGTTCTTATCACTGAAAATCATTCAAATTTTAAAATTATAGGTCAAAAATTATTTTTTATCTATCCAAACCACTTAGAGAGGTGTTACCCAATTTTAGAAAGAAAATAAAACAAGATAAATGAAAGATTCAAATTTCTAGCCTCAGAGGTACACTCAATTATCATCGCACAACATTATACGATACTTCAAGTGTGGGTTCACACATCTATGTTTACATATATTTTTAAAAATATAACACTACTATATATGAATTCAGGAGGGGAGCATGGGTTCACGTGAACCCGGTGACCCCCTCCTGGATACGCCTCTGTTAGGCAGCGGTTGGTTATTTGCTTATTTTCAAGATGCTTTTATGAGCTGAACTGTTGTTTTCTTCGTAATGACATATTAACATGAAGACCTGAATGACATTCCAGACCGGTTTATGTTGGAATCAATCGTTCATTAGCTTGATGACGACATCTTTCGTGGCTCTTTTTCTCTCAACCATAGTAATAAGTGTGGTCAAGATGCAATGGAGTGCTTCAAGCATTGAGGCTTGGTCGAGCAATTTGGGGTCATTTGTGGTGTTTAAGAACAATTGTTTACATTTTTATGGCTGGTGTATATACTAAGGTCCAGAGTCAAAAGGGTAAAATAAAAATTTGTCTAAAATTTTAAAAGGGCACTTCAATTTTTTTAAAACCAAAAGGGCAAAATCAGTCCTAACGAAGCGAATTACTCTGACACAATATTGATGTCGTTACACCGTTAAAAATAAAAATCGCTTCTATTCCAAAACTTCTTTTTCTTTTTCTCCATTAAAATTAAAATTGCTGCCACTGCAGCGATTTTAAGTCAATTTTTTTTAAAAAAAATTCTCTTGAAAATCGCTGCCAATTTTTTCTTTTGAAAATCTTAGTTATTAAAAAAAATATTATTTTTTATTGAAAATCGCTGCCTTGGCAGCATTTTTATTTTCAATTTTTTTAAAAATAAAAACACTGTCAAGGCAGCGATTTTCAAAAAATAATAATATTTTTTTAATAGAAAAGCTACCAAGGCAGTGATTTTTTTTTATAAAATTCAAGAAAATTCTTTTTAAAAATTATAACGCTGCCATAACAACGATTTTAGTTGAAAAAAAAATTGGACTTACATCAATTTTAATGAAAAAATAGTTTTGGACAAAATCACTCCTAGGGCAGCGATTTTTATTTTTAACGGAATAACAGTGTCAATATTGTGTCACAGGGAAATCACTTCGTCAAGAGCGATTTTGTCCTTTTGGTTTAATTTTTTTTTTAATGCGTCCTTTTAAAATTTTTGACAAATTTTTTAATCCCTTTGATAAGTTACTAACAAATATTATTGGGATCTAAGAGAAAAAGAGAACTCATATATTAGCCTAGATTACAAATTTGGAGAAAATTTATACAAGTCTATTACAACAACTTCGAAGTAACAAATAGATTTTTGGGACTAGATCTGTCCACCGAATCTAGGGTTTTCTTTAAAGGTTATTACTAATTATTATTCCATTTTTTTTTAATTATTCCTTTATATTTATACATTTTGATAAATTGAGAAAGGATAAACTTTTCTACCTATTATACTGTGGATTAATTAATTTTGAAAAGGTATAACTTCTTGGGATAGAGGGAGTATCTATAAAAGGCGGCTGGTATCAGAATGGTCTCATCCCTAAACTTACATCTTCCGATGGCGCAAGAGTTGGTTGATTGGTCGGAACTTCAGTATGATTTGCTTGCCCTAATTGCTAGGCGTTTGAATCTGATTAAAGACTACCTAAATTTTGGCATTGTCTGCAAATCGTGGCACTCAGTGCCCACCAAGAACAATTTTAACAATTACCTGTCTAGAGCTCCTTGGCTGATGCTAGCGGAGGAAGACGGAAATTCTTCAGCCTCTATAATGGCATGATTTTGAACAAGAGGATTCCCAAAGTCAGCAGAAAACGATGTATGGAGTCTATGGGTTGACTTATCATGGTAGGAGAAGATGAAGGTGAAATTAGTATGCTACATCCCTTCTCTGGTGTTCAAATTGAATTGCCCCATCAAAATACCACAGTAGATTACGACAGTCATCAGACTGGCTGGCTGATGAGCTTTATTCGCAAGGCAGTTTTGTCAGCTAATCATTCTCATACATCTGATTACCTTCTCATGGTCATTGAGGGAGGTATAAGGTTCCTAAGTTTCTGGAGACCTGGAGATGTTAGATGGACTAGAGTTACCTGGGAAGGAATCAATTACAATCTTTTTTCTGATTTAATATATTTTAATGGCCAAATTTATGCCGTGGAGTATTCGGGTGATCTCCTAGTTTGTGATGTTGTTGGCTCTGAACCCACTAAAGGTCATATTGTAGCGCAGATACCACTTGAACCTCAACATTGTCGAGATCACTTAGACATCCTAGAATCACTAGGATCATTATTTGTAATTTTGCGAAATGGTGTTCAATTTAGGCCACTCAAAGATGATTCTGAAAGGATCCCATTAACGCTGCTCCAGAAGAAGATGATGAGGTTGAGGGGGAGTTAACATATGGGACAAGAAATTTTCAAATTTTCCAGGTCGATTTAGCTGCTGGCTAAATGGTGGAAACCAAGGAATTAGGGGACGCAGCCTTTTTTCTAGGTGTTAATGCTTCTCTATCAGTCCAAATTTCTCAATTTCCAGGAATCAAGCCCAATCATATTTATTTCACAGACGATTTTTTTGAATCATACCTATCTTATGAAGAAGGAGGAGGGTTGGACATGGGGTGTTCAACTTAGCAGATGGCAGCATCCGGCCGCATTACAACGGTGTTTCTTAAGTATGTTGTATTAGGTGGAATGCTACTGGAACTTCATCTTTCTTCTTCTTATCCAACCCTTAATCCTAGTGACTTTTTACTATTGAATTGAGCTAGTGATGGAGAGTAGTAGACGCCAACCCCATAACTGAGATGCTTGCTATACCCAGTGGACGCAAAATATGAACTGTGTCTTTTGCATCATTGAAGCACTTAAAACATCTGCAGAACAGGTCAAGATTTCTCTTTTTTGGAGATTGACTTGTCTGTGAGGCTCTTATTAATAGAAACAAAATATTACTTAAAGAGTGTTTGCTCTTCCAAACTAGTTCAAATTTCTGCCGATAAAAGTAATTTATGGCATTAGTTGAGTCAAGTTATGAGAAGTGCCTTGTAATTCTTTAGATTGATGTTTGCCTCTCACCAAATCAGGTACCCAACAAAGGTTCTGCTACTTCCAGCTTTTAAAAGAAAGAAATACCTTTTGAATTTATGGTTTTAAAATAGAGAAAATTACCATCCAAGGTCATCTAGTCTACAAAATATGTATACGTTATATAGATAGATAGAATCTCTAGTTTGAGTGAGATTTAAGCCTATACACACTCACAACAAGGACTTTGCATCCACTCCTACTCCAATTGCTCCGCCAATTACTACTGGATTTGTTTGTTCTCTGCAATGGTCAGACATTGACCTCTCTATTACTACAATACCTCACGGATTGCTCTGCCAATTCCTACCGGATTTGTTTGTTACTGCAATGGTCGGACATTGACCTCCAATTACTGAAATATATCAAAATGATATAACACCACAAAATAAAGTACAACATATCACGGTCATAGTGATATATATTGTATATTGTGATGTTATATCATTGTAATATATTTCATATATCAATGATAAAATGCTGATAGTTTTTCTTTTTTTTTTAAAGCTAAACTTTGTACTCCTTTATTTTTACAATTTCAATATTGTTTAATGTGAAAATTTATATATTCTAGTTTGATTGGGATCTATAGTTTTGTGGTTGAGTTATTCTAATTCTAGTATGGTAGTTTGTTTCTAACAACTAATTTCCTTCAATCTCTTTGTAAGGAAACAATATTTGAATATAATAGTTGGAATTTGAATTTCATTTTGTAACAATCTTTTGAAAAAAATCTTTGAGTTTGTCAAAATTGAATAGTGAGAATCTTAAACTTATGATACTATTGAAAATTTAAATATTTATAATCTCTTATTTTTAATTACTTTATATTTTCTAGTAGAATAGTTTGACAATAATAAAAAGTTAATAATGATGTGTCAAACTCAACCATTCACGACCAAATATAGTAATAATTAAGACTAATTTTGGCAAATAAGATTCTAATTGTACTTTGAATTGAATTTGGAACTCTATATTGGGATTCTTTCCTACCTTATTTATAAAATATAAAATATAAATATAATACAAAAAGCGGCAGGGATTGGAACTGTTGCATCCAATTTCCCGATGGCCCAAGAGATGGCTGATTGGTCGGGACTTCTATATGATCTGCTTGTCCTAATTGCTAGGCGTTTGAATCTGATTGAAGACTACCTAAATTTTAGCACTGTCTGCAAATCCTGGCACTCTGTGCCTACCAAGAACAATTTTAACAATGACCTGTCTAGAGCTCCTTGGCTGATGCTAGCGGAGGAAGACGGAAATTCCACTCGGAAATTCTTCAGCCTCTATAATGGCATGATTTTGAACAAGAGGATTCCCAAAGCCGGCAGAAAACGATGTATGGAGTCTATGGGTTGGCTTATCATGGTAGGAGAAGACGAGGGTGAAATTAGTATGCTACATCCCTTCTCTGGTGTTCAAATTGAATTGCCCCATCAAAATACCACAGTAGATTACGAGAGTCATCAGACTGGCTGGCTGATGAGCTTTATTCGCAAGGCAGTTTTGTCGGCTAGTCCTTCTCATACATCTGACTACCTTCTCATGGTCATTGAGGGAGGTATGAGGTTCCTAAGTTTCTGGAGACCTGGAGATGTCAGATGGACTAGAGTTACCTGGGAAGGAATAAATCGCAGGTGTTTTACTGATTTGATATATTTTAATGGCCAAATTTATGCCGTTGATTATTCGGGCAATCTCCTAGTTTGTGATGTTGCTGATGTTGTTGGCTCTAAACCCACTAAAGGTCATATTGTAGCGCAGGTACCACTTGATCCTGAAAATGGTCTAGACGAGTCATACATTGTAGAATCACTAGGATCATTATTTGTAATTGTACGAAATGGTGTTTTATTTAGGTCACTCAGAGATGATTCTGACAGGATTCCATTAACGCTCCTCCCAGAAGAAGTAGAAGATGATGGGATTGAGGAGGAGTTAACATATGGGACAACAATTTTTCATGTTTTCCAGGTCGATTTAGCTGCTGGTAAAATGACGGAAACCAGGGAATTAGGGGACGCGGCTTTTTTTCTAGGTGCTAATGCTTCAATTTCAGTACAGGCTTCTCAATTTCCAGGAATCAAGCCCAATCATATTTATTTCACAGACGATTTTTTTGAATCATACCTATCTTATGAAGAAGGAGGAGGGTTGGACATGGGGGTGTTCAACTTAGCAAATGGCAGCATTCAGCCGCATTACAACGGTGTTTCCCTCAGTCGTTTTTGTCCTCCAACTTGGGTAACACCAACTCTGTATTGAATTTGAGTCATACATACTCATCCTTTATTTTATTCTGTTTGTTATGCTATATATGTTTCAACAGCTTCGACCTTGTGTGTTGGCTTTGTTTTCTCATCTCTGCTCTTCTATAAACTCAAAGTTTTGAAAGATCCTCTTTATGTACTTCTCCGTCACAATAAGTTACTCTCTAGAATTTGTAGGGAATAATTAGAAGCAAGACACCCTCTGCTAAAAGTCTCCCATTCAGTATTCACATTGTGAACTAGAATGGAGACAATTTGAAATATTTCAATATTATTAAAAGAAATTAAAGTTCAATACAGATATGCGAAAATCGTGATCAGGCAAGCATGTTAATGGAGATAGATACATTCGTATGTGTAGCATATAAGAGTCTGTACACATAAATGAAAGAGATAACAAAGTTCTAAGCCTGCTCCAGTGGAGGCAAAATATGATCTGTTTCTTCTGCATCATTGACGCCACTTAAAACATCTGCAGTACAGGTCAAAATTTCTCATTTTTAAAAAAAATTGACGTGTATGTGTGTGAGGCTCTCATTATTAACAGCAGTCTAAACAAAATAGACTACTTAAGGGGGTGTTTGCAATTCCAAACTAGTTCAAATTTCTGCCCACTGCCGATATGTGTAATTTATGGCATGAGTTGATTGAAGTTACGAGGAATCTTAGTAGTTCAGTTAGTTAACTATCTAAACTTTTATCTTGTTTGTGAGGATTTGAATTACTACCTTGTAATTCTATTCTTATTTCTCCTTCTCCTATTTTTTATGTTGTCTGGAGTTACGGTTGATGTTTGCCTCTCACCAAATAGAGTCAGGGTATCCAACAAAGAAAGAAATACCTTTTGAACATATGATTTTAAAAATAGAGAAAATTACCGTCCAATACTTTTGGGTCATCTCGTCAAATATACTTGGAGGATCTCATGCCCTTAATGGTATCATAATTTGGGTTCAAACTCTCCTAAAAAATCCGACTCTGTTACCCTTATATATAAATAAAAGAAATTAATATCAAAAGCGTGTATTTTTCTCATTCGGTGTTCAGTATCTTGGATGACAAGTGAATTTGAATTTTTCAATATCTACCTAATCAACTAGTTGTAATTTTTCAATTAAATATAATACAAGAAAATCATTAAGTTTTTCTCACATACCAGTCTTGTCATGTTAACTAAGGTGGATTTCCACAAACTTCCTCTCATATTAGACCGATAACTCTTCGCAACTTTTCCAGTAAAATTGTAGCGAAAATCCTAATACAAGGCTTAGTGATATGCTACCTAAAACTATTAGAACGCATGCTCCTTTGATGAAAGATCGCAGATGTGGCTCCTTCCTATAATCTTTAAAACTAAAGTGATTTTATCAAGGGGAGAGCTACAAAATTGACCAACAACACTGTATTGTGATAACACTCAAATCACTCCTCAAAACCAATTAAAAGAGTGAGCGGTCGTCGTCAATAAAAATATCCAACTAAGAGTCGGGGTTGAATTCCATAAGGAATAATGTAATGGCAATTGAAAAGATAAAGGCAACTAGATACTAGTTTGAATCTAAATATACATGGTACAAGATTATTAAATAGAAGACAATTTTTATAACTACACTTCTAACGGGGGCAAAGATGATATCAAGCAAGGGATGTATGAGAATTAGGAAAACTTGAGATTCAGTTAACACTGAACGATCCATTGCAATTCAATCCAAGATCAATCACTAATAGATATGCTAGGTCATCTTAATTCAACCCTAATCTCCTTTCGGTCTCAAAGGATTATATTGTGATATCTCCTTTCGGTCTCAATCACATCAATACAAAACAACCCACTACCTTAACTTAGACCTCCCTTTCGAGGAAGCCTTACACTCAACAATGAAACCCTAAACTTTCTCCTTTCGGATTCAAAGTCAAAATGCAATTATCAATCTAATTCTCCACTTCACGAGCTCTATTTTCAAGCAATCCACGAAGATTGGAAACTAAGGTTGACCGTGCACTCCAAACCCATAAATTCAAACATGAAAACTAGATTGAACCTATTTCATGAAATCAGGCAGGGAAACAAGGAATCACAAAAGCAATAAAGCAATAAATCAAATATCCAAATAACTTTGTCTATTTCTAGCACAAAAAAGGCTCAATTTCATACAAGTAATTACACCCACATTTTTAGCAATTAAGAACAAGGAATTGAAGAAGGGTAAAAAGAAATTTACTAATACAGAACACAATCTCCAAATTCACAAATGAAATGTGAGGCAACTTGCCTTCAATGTCTCAACCCCTAGATCAAGAACGCTAAGAAATCTACTTTTTAGATGTATTTATCTCTCTACAATCTTCTCTCTCTAACAATTTTTGGATTCTTTAACAACGCTCCACTCTAACCCTATTTTCTGAATTTGGGCCCAATTCTTGAGAATTTTTCATTCTGCCCCTATCAGAAAAGGTAGGCTTGCAAAAGCGGTAGGAGGTTCGCAAAAGCGAACAGAAGTTCGCTTAAACGATCTCCACCTTTTTGGGCCAGTTCAGAGAAGCGAACCCCGCGTCATCACTTAAGCGAACAGTCTTCCGCAAATGCAAGACCTGGGACTTGTTTTTTTGCTCTTTTTTAGCTTGTACTCCACTTTTGCTCATCGTTTTCTTTCCCAACATCAGGACACCTGAAACAACACAATTCAAAGGATAATTAGCCTCTTTATCTACTTGAGTGCCACAAAATCACAAGAAAAGAGCCTCAAATGAATGCAAATCCATCCCTCATCATATTTGACAACACAATAGTATTAGATAAAAAATTAATATTGTTGGAATCAAAATAATAAGGTGTCATTTTAAGGATAATAAAAGTAAATTAATCTTGAATGGTGATAAATCATACCAAAAATAGAAGTATACTAAAAGAAGCATAATATTTTTATATAATTTGTTCAATTGACATACATGTAATAAAATTGATATAATAATTAGTTAATATTATTATATTAATGAAGTAGGTAAAAACCATACAAGTTACTAAACAAAAGAGAAAAAGCAGCCAAAATTACTAACTAAACTTTTTTATTTTATTTTTATGGTAAGAGAAATGCGCAGGCTTCCTTGTGCCTTATAAGGCGCTGGCAACCTGCAGACTCACAAGTGTTACCACCTGTACAAATGTACGTTTATTTGGGTAGTTTAGAAAGAAAAAAACGTCTGCACATAAGAATCCAATTTTACTTTGAATTGAATTAGAACTCTGTCCACTGAATCTTTGGGGTTTCTTGTTAGCTTATTTATATACGGCGGCTGGGATCGGAAGTGCTGCATCCGATTTCCCGATGGCGCAAGAGTTGGCTGATTGGTCAGAACTTCAATATGATCTGCTTGTTCTAATTGCTAGGCATTTGAATCTGATTGAAGACTACCTAAATTTTGGCACTGTCTACAAATCCTGGCACTCTGTGCCCACCAAGAACAATTTTAACAATTACCTCTCTAGAGCTCCTTGGTTGATGCTAGCGGAGGAAGACGGAAATTCCATTCGGAAATTCTTCAGCCTCTATAATGGCATGATTTTGAACAAGAGGATTCCCAAAGCCAGCAGAAAACGATGTATGGAGTCTATGGGTTGGCTTATCATGGTAGGAGAAGACGAGGGTGAAATTAGTATGCTACATCCCTTCTCTGGTGTTCAAATTGAATTGCCCCATCAAAATACCACCGTAGATTACCACAATCATCGGACTGGCTGGAAGATGGGCTTTATTTTCAAGGCAGTTTTGTCCGCTAATCCTTCTCATACATTCGACTACCTTCTCATGGTCATTGAAGGAAACATGAGGTTCCTAAGTTTCTGGAGACCTGGAGATATTAGATGGACTAGAGTTACATTGCAAGCAACCAATCGCATGCGTACTGCTTTTTTTGATTTGATATATTTTAATGGCCAAATTTATGCCGTGGATTATTCGGGTGATCTCCTAGTTTGTGATGTTGCTGATGTTGTTGGCCCTCAACCCACTAAATATCATATCGTAGCGCAGATACCACTTCAACCTCAAGATCGTCGAGAACAGTTATACATTGTAGAATCACTAGGATCATTATTTGTAATTTTGCGATACGGTGTTCAGTTAAGGTTACCCAAAGATGATTGTGACAGGATACCATTAACGCTCATCCCAATAGCAGATGAGAGAGGAGTACAAGATGTTGAGCACACATATGGGACAAGAAATTTTCGAGTTTTCCAAGTCGATTTAGCTGTTGGCAAAATGGCAGAAACCAGGGAATTAGGGGACACGGCTTTTTTTCTAGGTGCTAATACTTCTCTCTCAGTCCAAGCTTCTCAATTTCCAGGAATCAAGCCCAATCATATTTATTTCACAGACGATTATTTTGTAACGTACCTAGCCTATGAAGAAGGAGGAGGGTTGGACATGGGGGTGTTCAAATTAGCAGATGGCAGCATCCAGCCGCATTACAACGGTGTTTCCCTCAGTCGTTTTTGTCCTCCAACTTGGGTAACACCAACTCTGTATTGAGTCAACTTGGGGGCCTTTGTTGTTTAATTTAGGTTTGCTCTTTCCTCCTCTCGATGAAATCGGGGAAATTTGAATCAAACCAGTTTACTTATTTTCAAGAATTCCTATTCAAGTATTAACTATATTTTGAAACTTTTAGAGTCACTCCTTAAATTTGGTTGTACTTTTAGATTGATTACTGATACCACCAAATTCATTATATTCGAAAAATGCAAAAGTTATGTATTAGATACATATCTGCCTTTTTTTTCTTGATATGGGGTAGAAACCTGAAATATGGATTGAATCTATGACGAGTGCTACCTGATAACACTGCAAACTTGGGGATAATATTATGACCTATGGATGATTTCACCATGTTCCACCATTTGTAGGAATGAATAATAGTATCCAAGTTAACATCATAAGGCATCCAATATGCATATTGTTCTGCTATATTTGCAATAAATTACATAGGGAAAATGCATAAGTACCCCCCAACCTATGCCCAAAATTCCTGAGAC